TTTTTCTTCCTTTAAAGGAAAACAAATGGACACACTGAGTATAAAATGTCAGCTGAATGTCCTTTACCCTTTTAATGCTTGAAGTTCAGCGTTTGTGCAGACGTTGTAGTTTGTGAATTTAAAAAAAAATCTCTTTGTAGTCTCAATATTTTGCACCAATACTCAATAACAGAGTAACAGGAGGAAATCCACTGCCGATGAGGACATATGATAAGAAGAGATACCAATTTCCACACCAACTGTAGTCTCAATAGACCAGAATGCAATGCACCCACATGGTTTGCTGCCTTTTGGGCAAAGGGCTTGACTTTCATAAGTGGAAAATAATGGACCTGTTGTCACTGTTTCGGCACAGCTGTCTCGATACGCTCATCTGCAGTCTTAAAGAGCAACCCGCATTAGGAATTTCTTAGAAAATTAAGTAAAATCATTTGAAGAGTACCGCCACAGGGCTGAGTCTGTCACTTAATGAGCCTTTTTTCTCTAGTTTTATTTAGCATTTTCCATCGTTGTGGGTTTTTGTGCAAAGGAAAGACACTAGTATTTGTGCCTGGGTGCATTTTTGTGTAGGACACGGTTGATATGATGGAGTTAAAGATGGGATTTTGAAGCCAGGACCATGTGCAACGCTCCCGCATTTCCTAGACTGACTTTTTGAAATTATAATGATATTATAAGACCTGAATGCAGCAGGCAAGCAACTTTATGGGAGTTTTCAAACGGAAGTTTTCTCTTTTATTTTCTACCTCCGAAAGCCAAAAAAGAGGCGTGATTTCATCTCAGCGTGTGAGGTGCAGTCACGGGTGAGCTAGCATGTTGAGAGTGTTTCTGTTATCTAAATAAACCTGATATAATGACGCAGCGGGCGTGTGATAGACAGGAAACGTTCTTCCAATGTGGAGGGGTGAAGGAGCTCTTTTCAGGCTCTATTTATGTGCCGCCGAGTGTTCACGCCTCCCCTCAGCTGCTTCCCAGACACACAGACCTGACCCAGCCTCTTCATCCAATTAACCGCGGTCGACGTAGTAGAGTTGGTAATTGTCCGGGAATGTCTACACACACACACACACACACACACACACACACACATGTTTTGAGGGTCTTGCCATCACAAGGTCCATCAAATGACTCGCCGTGTGTCTGTATTTTGTGAGCGATGTCCTCTCGGGTCTGGAGCAGCAGCTGACTTGAGTTGGCAGTTGATTGAGTGCACGTGTGCTGGTGTGTGTGTGTGTGTGTGTGTGTGTGTGTGTGTGTGTGTGTGTGTGTGACATACATGGGACAGAAAACAAGGCTTCACATGCAATCTATTTTGTTTGGGTGACTCAGACCGATTGATCAAATGTGTGTGCGGGGTATCAAAGGGTTTCCTCAATAAAACATCAGATTAATGTGTCAGAGTGGAGCTTCCATGTCTGGTCCCACGATTCCCGACCCTGCTGTGTCTCAACCTTGTGTTTTGGTTTTGAGACTTTTTCACTGGAATATTATAATGATATAAACGAGTCCAGAGGCCTCAACAAACAGACAAACAGGGAAAAGGGTATATTTCAACATTTTAACCTCTTTTTCTTGGCATCAGTGGAAAACAACACAACATGAGGTCAAGGAAAGTTTTGGAAAGAGAAAAACAACAATGACTAATTTCAGATTTCTTCAGCATGTCGTTTGAGTCTGTTGTTTCCCACGGTCAGAGAAACAATTGGTCAACCGAAGCTCGCACATTCCTACATTTATGAAAAATAGGTGGTCTCCAGGGTGGACTTAGCAACTATATTATAACTATACGAGCTATACAACTTGTGTAAGACAACTTACTGAACTTGGACTTCTGTGGTCAATAACAGCAGCATGTCAAAAACATGTTGGCTTTTTAGAATCTGGATTTTTGTTCATCATTTCCGAGAGCACCCCATACATCCTGTGATCTAAGGCCGAGAGCAACCAATCATCTTCCGTTTTCTAGCAGAACCAATATGTTCAGTTCAGTCTGATTATCAGGTACGTAAATGTGTGAGTTTTAGATGAAAACACTGAAATTGTGCTCGGGGAAACAGTGTTAAAGCAGGAAATGTTTTCCAAGTGTGTGAGGTCATATCGCCCGCTGTGGTCAAATGTTCACCGCTAGATTTTTTCCTGTTAACTGAACAGAATCTGGTTTCTTCCTCGGTATATTTGGGATTTCGCAACGCTGAGAGTGCTGCTAACAGCTTCCTTCTGTGTGTGTCTACAAACATGAAGTGTATCTCCGATGGACACTGGACAGGCTAATCCCCACGTTGCGTCTTAGGGGGGCCCACAGGACAGTCTGGAGGCTCAGGGTTTAACCAGCAGGCCACCTGCTTTCTCAGCAATAGGGAACAGCACAGAGGGAGGTCCAGTTGAGGGGGTGTAAAGAGGATTTTTGGGGGTCATTTTTGGGGCAAAAGGGTCTTTGTATGTCTGGAAACAATAGGCCAGAAAAAACTGGTTGTATGCAGATCAGGTTATATGCGTACTTGTCAATAAAAACAGGAACTGATGCTGTTTTATTACATTAAAAACACCTTCTGATATGTATTATTGTGGTAATTTGGACAGGAGCCTCTGTTAAATTTCATATCTTATGAGTAATTTTGCATTTATCTGATGTATGTATTCTGGATCTGCTGTATGGAATAGCCAGTCTTGCACTCATTGTCTCATGTACATTTAATATTTAGGTTTAATTTTGTACAATAGAATCATATTTGCTCTTTTCCACAGCAGCCATTTTGACATGAAATAGTTGGGTTATCCATTTAGTGTCGCAGAGCCTTTGCACCGAGCCACAACAACAACACCAGCCTGACTCTGTTTGATCTGAATGGAGCAAAATCTGAATTAGTATCATTGGTAACACCTGCGACTAATTCATGTCCAAATGGCTGCTGTGAAGAAGGTCTGTTGTACTGGAATTTAAAGGCACACCTGATGGCAATTAAGCACAGAGGAGTCTGATGGAGCAATGTGCCAAACACAATCCTTTTTGTTTTGTTTTTAATGTAATAAAACTGCATAAAAATGGCCTTTTACTGTAATAAAGTATCTGCTTGTTGGACAAAACACAGGCCCAGACAGCTTTTGATGGATCACAGCACATTATAGTAAATAATTGTCCTCCAAAACATCAGCTGCGACACAAATAGACGACGTTAATCCGCGAGCGATCCCTCGGACTCAGAGTACATCCTGTACCCGCGGCGGCGTGCTTGAAGAAAACATCTTTTGTCAATGAAACGGGATTTGCGAAAGTGCCATCTGGACACGAGGACAGGAGCTCTGTCTCCACCGAGCCAGCCAGCCACTCCGAGGTCAGGATCTGGGATCAGACTGACCTGAGGAAGGAGGAGAGAGCAGGGCAGGTTGAGGACTCCTAAATAGATTATTGACATGATAGACATGATAGGATTATAGACATTAGATCAAAGACTGCAATGAATTAGATTTTGTCCAGGCTCTCAGATAATATCACTTATGAAGTGGTCTGATCAACAACTAGACCCAGTTTTGATTGAGTGAATTAAGAGAAAACTGAGCTCTCCACTCTGCAGCCCAACAGGAGGAAAAGTGTTGCCTAGAAAAAGTTGCTAAAAATATCCCACAGACGAGCTGCAGGTTAAAATCTGGCCTTGGAAATGACAAAATATTGGATAAATACAATGATTGATGTCCTGTGAGCTCAGTAGAATGACAAAATGTTTATCTCCTGTTTTATTTCATTGTTGGCTCTGTCTCTTTGCTTTTATTAATTAATTTCTTACTGTTTTGTAAGATTTTATTGTTTTCTGCTGTAACCCTAACCCCTCAAAAAATGTGTTTAAATAATAATTCCTACATGTACACTGGTGTTAAATATGATTAAATCACAATAAATCGTATCCCTGCTCCCCGTTGTGTGACCTCTTTATTACACATTAATGTAATAAAAATAGAATATGAAGGTTATAATGTTGGATTTATGAAACTGATTTGGAGACTTTTATGATTTATTGGGATCATTTTATTTACTTTTATTCAACATATAGTTATTATTATTATTATTATTATTATTATAGACTGAGGTTTTATTACACTGGCTTTAGCGTAGTGGATAAACTGGCATGTTATTATATTATATAATAATTAATGGCTTTGGGTTATACAAGTGTAGTGTAGTGTATATACTACAGCATTTACAGTAATCCTCTTATAAATGCTAATACAGAAAGGAGACACCACAACTATAAATCTAAAGGGGGTTTGTATGCAAGTATGTGTGTAATATGATATGTACAATTAAATGTAAGAATTGTTTACTTTTCTGCCATAAATATATAAATATTTTAAATAATTATAATCATAGTAATAGAGAATAGTAATATAATATTCCTCAGCCACCTGTGATTCATTTTATGACCTGCTTTTAATAACAGAAACCAACATTTGTGACATAAAACACGAGCAGAGACTGTTAGATGAGAGATTTCAGCTCCCACAATCCCTCTCGTGTCGTCGCCCTATATTGGTGCGCGCACCCATGCCTGCGCGTCCTCGCTCCCGGCGTGCAGATCCACGTGAGGGAGCGGTGGGCGGAGCCACGAGGATACCTTCAGGGGGGCTCGGTCGTCTCCCACCAATGACGGCTCCACATACATATATTTACATCGCGGTCCACCTCTGGGCATGCGCAATGAGGTCCGTGCTCCTAATTGGGAAGTCTGGGGGTCAATTAGGGGGCAGTGAAGGTTTTTATGGGCTGTAAAATAAATCTAATGACTTAAATCCAGTTCTTTAGTTGTTCTAGATAGAAAAGGATTGAATTTATGGAATATTTAAGACCGAAATTCAACTTTTACCTTCATATTTTCTTAAGAACGCCCCCGTTGTCTTTAAGGAAACCTGTCTAGATCAACGTGAATAAAATTCAACCGGTCAGACCTTGAATGTAAAATCCCCCAAAAGTTCAACATCCTTAAAAAAATGAATAAAACCAAACAGTCTTTGCTTTTTTGTTTTCATTTTTATTTGAGGTGCAACTGTCTAGTGCAATTGTAACGTCACATTTGTGATGGGCTGAGGAACATGCACAAAACATCGACATACTTGTGCTAGGCATTTTCCTTTCTTTTTTTTTTTTTTGTTTTTTGTTTTGCTGAGTGTCTCATTATTGTGTTCTGCGCTCCAGTTGCACTACGAGCAACTCAAAACACTTGGCTGTACAAAAAGACAAAGAAAAGAAGAAAAAACAAAAAATTACATTATCGCCATTCATGTAAGAAAAAAAACAACTTCACATCCCCAAAACGGTAAAAACCAGTCCAGATAACTTGAGCGAGTGAGTTAAGCGACGGCAGAGGAGAGTTCACGTACAGTACGAAGCCGTGTGTCACTGCAGGAGAGACAGCATCTTAGTGTGGAGGTAAATAATCCTCTTCTGTTCCCACCCTGAGTAATGACATCACAGGTAGTAAAACCTGGCAAAACCATAGATATATATATATTTATATATCTTTTTATATGTATATATGTACACATATTCAATAACACGACTAAAAAAAAGCTTTTATATATGTATCTATGGTTAGAAACCAGGCACTTGGCAGAGTTTAATTGGAAATGTTTAATCTGTACAAAGTTCACTACCTAGAAACAGTCATGTCCTATTTATTTGCCTCTCCGTTATTTATTTTTACAGATCACTAGGACATTAATTACATCAACAAGAGCAAAAAAAAAAAAAAAAAACAGACAAATCCTAAACCCTCCCTTAAAAAACCAAAAACAACAAACGTTGATTCCCTGCAATAAATGTCTAATGATCCATCCAAGAGGGGGGGAGAGAGTGCGCTCAGGGTGGGGACGGCGACGCGAAGCCTCAAGAAGAACACAGAGTTCTCAAAGTGAACAATGAGACGCAGCTTATATATATTTCATAATTCTTTATAACCCCGCCCCTCAACCCAGAACATCTCTCCGTCTTCAGATGCTGGGAGAGAAAAAAAAAGGTGAGCTGGACTCCCATTCCAGATGGGCTGTGTCGATTCTCACAGTTCGTCCATTGTCAATATCGGACCGCAGCGCTAAAAAAAAACAACATAAAACAAGATGCAGAGTAAAAAAAAAAAAAAAAAGGATTTAAAGTGTGACGCAGACGGGACAATGCTGGGTTGAGGTTGGGGGCGGGGCTAAGACGATGGCACACTTTCCACCGGTCACACACACTGCGAGGGATTCGACGGCACTGACAAAGAGCGTGCTCCCCTTGATTGGTCGGGCCCGGCGTTAAGCTCCTCCCTCCCTGAACAACGGCGCCGGTTGCAAGGGTCGGCCGGCACTTCCTGTCAGCTCTGTCTTTCCCCCTCATACTCATTATCATCACCACGACGACGACCACCACCACCACGACAACAACGATTGTCTGAAGCAGGTAGTAAAAGTTGGGAGATAAAGCGGGGACACACACACACACACACGCGCCGGTGCAACTCCAACGTCTTTCAGTTAAATTAAATGTGCAACAAAAGAAAGTTGTTTTTCGTCCTCCGGTTGAGCTGAGGTGGGCACTCCTCGAGACGGTGGCATAGAGTCAGTTCACAGTATGGCAAGACTCCTTCCTCCTCCTCCTCCTCCTCCTCCTCCTCCTTCCATCACCCCTCCTATCTCTTATCCTCAGGTGGTGGGGGTCTTCCATGTGCAGCTTCTGTGTTACGCAGACGTGCCGGAGCTCTGTGTGGAAGGGAGGACTTGTGTGGTTCCGGCCGGGACCAGAGGCTGGCCGGCGCCGGTCGGGGAGCTGCCGGTCTGCACCTGCGCCTGGAACTGAGCCATCTGCTCGGGGCTGGCCAGGTTCTTGAGCAGGTTGTTCTCCTGCTCCAGCTGAGTGTTGCGCTCGATCAGCTCTTTGATCTGCTCCTTCAGCACCTCCACCTCCTCGCGGACGGCGTACATCAGGTGGCTCTTCACCAGGTCCTGAGGATGGAGGAAGAGTCGGTTAGAGAGATAATTCATCCATTATTCCCGCGGTGAGGTGGAGAAACCACCTTTAAACCTCCTTATTACACATCAAAACATACACAAATGCCATTTACTGCCAAATGCTTCTGTTAATTACCAATAATTATCACACTATTATCAATCAGTGATCAGGTGACTAACCTGCAACTGTTTGTCGTCTCAAATATGAAGATTTACTGCTTTCATTTATTTCATTATAAACTGACAAGAAAAGCAATTTCAGTATCTGAGGAATTATGACGATTTTTAAGACTAAATCAGATTCTTATGGATCAATTACTCACAAGCTGCATTAGTCAATTATCTGAGCAACATGTCAGTCAACTGAAAATGAATAGAAATATTTTGATAATTAATAGTTTTAGCTTTTGTGTGTTTGTGTCACCTTATTTTGGAATCAACTGATTGGAAACTTCTAGACATCCTAAAATAATCCTTGTTCAACTTCCTTTATATTTTTATATCTTGAGTCATCTGTGCTTTATATATATTCTCTATAAATACATCTTGGACCGCAACAGACTTCCAGCTCTTACAGCAGATTTAACTTCAGGAAAAACTGACTCAAATATGTGAGAGCGACACAAAGACTGGAGGGGCAAAACATGTGACACAGCAGCGCACAGGCTAATTTGGTCTTCTAATTTCACTTTAGAGTCTGCACGGCACATGCAGCTGTCTCAGTGGCGACGAGGAACGCAAACACAGCAGTGATTCCTCAGAAGAAGGTGGACTTTAAGTAAAATAAAAATACTGTGAGAGCGAGCTTTTAGTGCATTCCCATGATGATGCCTGAGCAGTGTGCAGTGCCAGCCTGCTGAAGAGGGATTTGCTTTTAATAATCTGAGCATCCCCTCCTCTGTTGACCCGCCCCTCCTCCTCCTCCTCTTCCTCCTCCCTGCCCCGGTAGGCAGTGAGGGAACAAAATGTTCCTGCACCGGGAGGAGGAGCCTATCACCAGCCGAGTTATTTATACCGAGCAGTGGGGCGGCTGCTGCTTGCCTAGCAACACGGGACAGAGAGAGGTGGGAGAGGGCGAGGGACTATGTATATGCATGAGAAGGGGAGAGAGAGAGAGGATAGCGTGTGAACCTTAGCCTAGCCCACATCAAGTTGCCAACAAGCCGGAGGTTATCTGTCCAAACTGTGAGCGAGCAGGAAGCTCCTGTAGCCTCTGATTCAAACAGCAGGTGCACTTAAAGCAGAAAAGGATGTTTTCTCCACATGTGCAGCTTAAATTATACTGAAACTCACATCTGGAATACAGACAGGAGCCTTCATGCTTCTCATTCATTCATTCATTCATTGCTCAAGAGCAGCTTTTTAGTCTTCTGTCATTACCTTGAAAGTCCCTTTGAATACAAACATTACAATATCTTTAACAGGCTATCAAAAAGCATTAAAAAGGGGGTCTGCGACAATGCTTGGCTTACATAACACATACATGTAAAGCATCATGAAACGGGCCTATAGACTAACACAGAGCCGCATTAGAGATTATCAAAAACTGATTCTTACCATCGCTTGTTCAATCTTGTTGTCAATGGCCACCACACTGGCACCGGAGGAGCTGGAAGACAGAGAGAACAGTGTTATTGGTTAGTTATTAAAGCCTCTAGCACCTATTAGCCGAATACCGCAGGGTGTATTTGACTACAATTTGACTGCATTAAGGGTTTTTTTTTTTTTTTGTTTTTTTTTTAAAAAAAAAAAAAAAAGGATGAGGCGGTTTAAAGCTGTCAAATCAAACATAAATAAAATGATGAAGCTGTCATGAGGGGAAGAGTAAATACGCAAGAATTCACAATATTAAATGTGTGCAACAAAGCAAATGGAGGTCGAGGCATCAGGCTGAGACTTTGATGGCGGAGAATCAATGAGGCAACATTTGGGGCCATGTAGCCTCGTTTTCATGTGCCGCACACAATGCGCAGTATTTACCTATTGTCGAGCCTGACTGCTGCACTCTCCTTCCCGAGCACAGAGGACAGAAACGATATGGAGAAATTCCTCAGCTGACAAACGCCAAGATCCATCGCCACTGTATAACATTGGGAATTCATGCTACCCCGTCCATTAAAACCTCCACAGGCGGTTCTTCGGCTGCACAAACTGGAAATCCAGCGGTATAAAAGTAGAAAAAAAGCGCATTATTGAGGGCAGGACGTCGGGGTCTTGCTCTCCGGGGCGACCGCAGCCGGAACAGAGCACACAATAGACTGAAGCGGCGGGCTGCAGCTCCGATAAAACAGCGTCTCCCTCTCCGGATAATGCATGCAGGAAAAACAGCGCCAGCGGCGGCGTGATTGGCGGAGCGCTGCGCCTCGTTTGCATACTGCGTGCGCCGATTGGAGGAGAGGGTTTTGCTCATGGTCATAATTTATGCAGCTCCTCTCTCTACCTGCCGCACCGTCCCTCTATAAAAGCCCGCATCCAGCAGCCGCAGCCGCAGACACAGGGCTCCGCTTAGACTTTAAGACGGCAGATTAAAGGCAGACATTTTGCTTTAAATCGTCTGTTTTTTTGTTCTCCTCTGCTCTGTGTCTTCCTCAAATGTGGACAGCAGGGTGATGGGAAAACTTTGCCTTGGCTGGTGTGTGGAACAATGTCTCCACCTATCGGTTATAACTGGTGTATTAAACAGGGGGTCAAGACTCTCCCAGTACCACAGGGCTGCAGGTAATTTGACAAAATCTGACCTCAGCACTGTCCAACATTTACACTGTAAGTCTGGAGAGTGGGGGAAAAAAAAAAAAAAAAGGGGTCAGACAGCAGAAGCAGTGGAAGATAAGCTCCTTTGTCCTCTTTAGATATTTAGTTGGACTCAGTGAAATGGGAACACGCTGTTCTGTACATTAACTCGGGGCCACCCCTCCGCTCTGTGATAGCGAGGAGGCTCATTATTCAGGACATGTCTCCAAGTTCTCTGAGATGTTTGATTCCTTCCGTAGAGCTGAAACAGTGAGTCAATTAAGAGGATATTAATAGCCGACGAGTTTGATAATTACTTGTTAAAAGTCATTTATCAAACCTTTCAGCCTCTGAAAATGCTCTCTGTTCATATCGTAGTTTCAGGGGATATATTACATTAATTATCAAATGTGTGATTTGGTTAAAGAGAGTTCGGATACAGTAGTTTAAGGGATCATTTACAGCTTCCCAGAGTCTTAATCTAATAAATGCCTTAGGACAGACCTTGTTTGTGTATTTGGTGTCGTCTCAAACAGAAATATCGAATATCTTGTCTCAACTGTTGAGTGTCTACGGGATCAAATAACATAATCATGATTACACAGGAATTGAGCAAAGTACACTAAACAGGGATGATTTTTTTACAAGCTTTGTCTGAGGGGATGCCTTTAAAAAAACCCTTGCATTAATCAACTAATATTCTCAGCACGAGAAGGAACACGATTGAAAAAATGTCTCTGGATTATAATTCAATTCAATTCAATTCAATTCAATTTTATTTGTATAGCGCCAATTCATAACAGAAGTTATCTCAGGACACTTTTCAAATAGAGCAGGTCTAGACCGAACTCTTTAACATTAATTACAGAGACCCAACAGTACCACCATGAGCAAGCACTTGGCGACAAGGGCAAGGAAAAACTGCCTGTTAAAAGGCAGAAACCTAGGACAGATCCTCCGGCTCTAGGTGGGTGGTCGTCTGTCTCGACCAGTTGGGGTGAGAGAGAGAGAGAGAGAGAGAGAGAGAGAGAGAGAGGCGACAGACAGACAGACAGGTGCACAGCAACAACAGTATTGGCAATGGCAGTCAAGCAGGACCATGGCAGGAGGCTCCACCAGGATCCATGAGAACCTGCGAGACGAGAAAGCACAAGAACTCCGGGGAAGAAGTGGAGTTAGTAACATGCATTAAAGGGACATGAATGAGTGCAGAAAGAGAGAGGAAGAGAGTAGCTCAGTGCACCATGGGAAATCCCCCGATAGTCTAGGCCTATAGCAGCATAACTAAGGGATGGTTCAGGACTCACCTGATCCAGCCCTAACTATAAGCTTTATCAAAGAGGAATGTCTTAAGCCTACTCTTGAAAGTGGTGAGGGTGTCTGCCTCCCGAACCACAACTGGAAGCTGGTTCCACAGGAGAGGAGCTTGGTAACTGAAGGCTCTGGCTCCTGTTCTACTTTTAGAGACTATAGGAACCACAAGTAGCCCAGCATTCAGAGAACGTAGTGTTCTAGTGGGGTAATAGGGTACTATGAGCTCTTTAAGATATGAAGGGGCCTGACCATGAAGAGCTTTATAGGTGAGGAGGAGTATTTTAAATTCAATTCTACATTTTATAGGGAGCCAATGCAGAGTAGCTAGTACAGGAGAGATGTGATCTCTTTTTCTAGTTCCTGTCAGTACTCGTGCTGCAGCGTTCTGAATTAATTGGAGCGTTTTAATGGACTTATTGGGGCAACCTGATAATAAAGAGTTGCAGTAATCCAGCCTTGAAGTAACAAATGCATGGATTAGTTTTCTGCATCTGTCTGTGATAGTATGTGTCTAATTTTCTAATATTACGTAAATGAAAGAAGGCAGTCCTAGAGGTCTGCTTTATGTGGGAGTTAAATGACAAATCCTGATCAAAGATAACTCCAAGATTCCTGACAGTGGTGCTAGAGGCCAAGTTAATGCCATCTAGAGTGACTATATCTTTAGACAATGAGTCTCTAAGGTTTTTGGGGCCAAGAACAAGAATTTCGGTTTTTCTGAGTTTAACATCAGAAAATTGCAGGTCATCCAGGATTTTATGTCCTTAAGACATGTTTGTAATTTAGATAATTGATTAATTTCATTGGGTTTGATTGATAGATATAACTGCGTATCATCTGCATAACAGTGAAAGTTAATGGAGTGATTCCTAATAATGTTGCCTAAAGGGAGCATATAAAAGTAAATAGTATTGGTCCAAGTACAGAACCTTGTGGAACTCCATGACTAACTTTAGTATTTATGGAGGATTCATCGTTAACATGTACAAACTGAGTACGATCTGATAAGTATGACTTAAACCAGGTTAGGGCAGTTCCTTTAATGCCAATTTGATGCTCAAGTCTCTGTAAAAGAATATCATGGTCAATGGTGTCAAATGCAGCACTAAGATCTAATAATACAAGTACAGAGACAAGTCCATTGTCAGAAGCAGTCAGAAGGTCATTATTAACTTTAACCAGAGCTGTCTCTGTGCTATGATGAACTCTAAATCCTGACTGAAAATCCTCAAATAAACTATTGTTATGTAGAAAGTCACACAACTCTTTGGCGACTACTTTCTCCAGAATCTTAGAGAGGAACGGGAGGTTAGAAATCGGTCTATAGTTGGCTAAAACCCCTGGGTCAAGAGTAGACTTTTTAAGAAGGGGTTTAATTACAGCTACTTTAAAGGACTGTGGTACATATCCTGATAATAAAGAAAGATTAATCATATCCAGTAAAGAAGTGCCAATTAAGGGAACAACTTCTTTAAGCAGCCTAGTTGGGATCGGGTCTAACAGACAGGTTGATGGCTTCGATGAAGAAATGATTGAAGTTAACTGATGAAGATCGATAGCAGAAAAACAGTCTAAATATACATCTAAGTTTACATTGACAGAAGTCCCTGAACTTGGAGAGCCACTGATAACTGTTGATGGCAGTTGGTGATTAATTTTTCTCTAATAGTAATAATTTTATTATAGAAGAAGCTCATGAAGTCATTGCTACTTAAGTTTATGGGGATATGTGGCTCGATAGAGCTGTGACTCTCTGTCAGCCTGGCTACAGTGCTGAAGAGGAACCTAGGGTTGTTCTTATTTTCTTCTATTAGTGCTGAGTAATAGGCTCCTCTGGCATTACGGAGGGCCTTTCTATAAATCTTAAGATCATCTTGCCAATTTGAGCGATATTCTGATAATTTGGAAGAGCGCCATTTCCTTTCAGATTTTCTAGCTATTTGCTTTAACTGGCGGGTTTGGTGGTTATACCAAGGTGCTAGTCTCCTATGTTTTAATACAAATAGTTAGTTGTGTCCCTAATTTAAGAAATTTGTGGTATCTTTGATTAGTCATCCCACCTGGTGGATTACAGATTAATGAAGCACATGAAACTGAAACCATCACTACGGGACACAAAGCCAGTACTTTGGTTCTTATTGATCCACTCATGGCTAATCAGATCAATATTTCAGTTAAATTACTCAACAGTCAAGTTACACTGTGACCATGGAAACAGTGGTTTAGATATTAAAAAAAAGCACACAAAGTACATTTAGTTCACACAACAAATCAGGGTGTGGTTTTGTTTTTATACCTGCGACACATTTTAATTACATCGGTACAAGTTTCTTCTCATTCACACCTGTTTTTGACACACGTAGGCACGTCAACAACGGTCTAAAAGCTTTGAGCAGCAGCGCCAAGATCTTTGAGCTCCTTTCACCTGTCCTGCTTTAGGCACCTTTTAGCTGTTATATCTGTCCGAGGCTGGAACATTCACTTGAGCTGTGGTACCAAGTTCAGTGAGAGGAAAACTGTGTCAACAACCTGTCTGAGGAGGAGACAAAAAGTATTTTACCTCCT